CATAGAAAGTTAAACTTATTTAAATTTGTTTGCTTCTTTTAAGTCGAGTAAAATAACTTTGAAATTTGAACTAGCTTAAATAGCCAATTTTTTCATCCGACGGCATCGACGTACGGTTGCCGAGTTGGTAAAAGTGATGTTTTACACGCTTGGGGTACGAGGTTCCAACCCGCGTATGACAATAAATTTTTTGCATTTTTTCTTAATTCTTTTTAAGTTAGTATAAATTTTTAACTCATTTACATTCAATAACTTCAATAAAGATCAATAATCCCATCACTTTAGTCGCCCCTTGCAAGAATAAATTTCTTATTCGTATTAAATTATTTTACTATATTTTAAGTTTTAGCTTCGATGCAGAGCCGAGAAGATGTTTTTTTGTGAATATCATTTATTTTCTCTGCTCTAACTTGACCTACTTTTTTCAACGATACGTCCAATGACTACAATTCGTATCTAGTTGAAGATATTACTCTCAAAAATTGAAAAAAAAATTCTAATTTATCAATTAAACAGTTAGTTATTACATCGTCTCCATAAAGACAATTAAAATCATTAATTTCTAATGTTTTCAAAATATTTATTAACGAATGAAGTTTGATATGATAGGTTTCAACTACAAAATTAAATCATTTTACTTTGTAATTTAATAATTTTTTTACTCTATTTGTGTGTGCTACTACTAGACTATAATATTACAATTTTTTTTTGTAACATGTTGCTATATAAATCATTTCTAAAAAAAATGATTGTTTTTTCTCCTGAATTAACAATTGATTTTACAAATATAATCAAATTTTATAATACACTCAATTGAGTAAATCTTTTTAACAACTTTGTTTTGATTGGTACATTTAGTTAAAGTAAATCATTAAAATTAATTAAGTTCTCAATATTTCAATTATAGAATCTTTTCAACAAACAACAAAAGTTCCTAGGAAATTATTACTATTACTTCTATTTAAGTTATCTATTACCATAAAAATGCAAAAAAATATTGAGCTTTTCTGATAAATTTACAATAAATAGTAATTATAAAACTTTCTGACTGCATATTGATCTTAACGATACAATTTTTTTAATTGTCATAAAATTTTCTATTTAATTATGTCAATGTCAAACTTACCAATTGAGCTAAAAGTTATGGTAAAATAAATTTTTTTTTT